ATTTTATACTCAATAAATTAATAATTTAATGATTAATTTTAATTTTTAATTGTTAATTTTGATTATTTAAATTTTAAAAATTAAAACGAAAAATTCAAAATTACAACCATATTAAACAAAATTTTAACAATTCAAAAAAATATAAATGAAGCCTTAGTATATGTTATTATGAATTTTAATAGAGTGAAAATTAAAATGATATATTAAATTGTCTAATAAAATTGTACACAAAAATTTCCTTTTAATCATTTTCAGTTAAAATTTGTTCTACCTAAAATCCTTTGGATTCTTTTTTTAAAAAATTTTTCTTTGTATTGACAATTCGCATATTCCCTTTTGTTAAAAAAAAAAAAAAAAAAAAAAAAAAACCCTATAGACAAAGTAGGTGGAGGCGGATCAGAATTTTCGCAGTCTAGAGCGTTTACGCAAAAGAAATACTAGACTAGTAGTATTTAATTTATGGAAAAATGAGATCTGCGTGTATGGAAAAAGGATGTCTCGGATTTTCCAAACTTGATTACCGAGACATTAGGACCGCGATTCTCGGCATTACCGTATCCTAATTTTGACCCAAATCGAATCTCCAGCTTTCCTAAACATGCAAATCAGCTTGGAATATTTGGTGTCGTAGGTTTTTAATTTTCCCATTTCTCTCATTTTTTGGAGTCAAATAATTAAGCGTCTTTTTTTTTATTATTTGGGTTGCATAACACAATAAAATTTATTAGGAATGATTTAATTTAATTTAATTTTCTCTATAGTTTAATTTAATTAGTTTGCTTCTTAATTTTTACTACATGAAGATAATGCGGGATTAATTATGAGCCGAGCTACGAGAGAAGATGAGGCAGAGGTAGCCCCACAATGGAGTATGGAGAGAGGGAAAAAGGGCGGGCTACGCGTGGGCCAGTTTATTTAGCTCAAATTTCAAGCCGAGCAAAGCTAGCACAGTTAAGCACCGCTCTCTAGAGAGTCAAGCTCACGCCACGCCCCAAAAAAAAAAAAAAAAAAAAAAAAA